GTTAAGTAATGAATGTTGTTATCCTTTATGACTGTCATGACTGACAGCTTGACAGCTTGACAGCTATTTGGAAAGAATTGTAGCTATTCAAGCTAGAGAACAGATTATGTATTTCTGGGAACTGAAATTACAGASCCAGCAGATTTGTGATGCTCTAGGAGATGCCTTGAATCACAGAATCATAGGATGGTTTGGGTTTGAAGGGATCTTGAAAGATCATCCAGTTTCAACCACCYTGCCAGGGTGGGACACCTTCATTAGATCAGTTTGCTCAGAGCTCCATCCAACCTGGTCTTGAACACTTTCAGGGATGGGACATCCACAACTTCTCTGGGCAACCTGTTCCAGTGYCTCATCACCCTCATAGTAAAGAATTTTTTCTAGTGTGCAATCTGAGTCTACTCTCTTTCCATTTGACTTCATTTCCCCTTGTCCTGTTACTACATATTCTTGTAAAAAGTCCCTCTCCATCTTTTTTGTACACTTCCTTCAGGTACTTCCTTCAGGAAATACCAAGAACATTAGTGTTTCACACTGGAAATTAAAATAAAAGTTAAAACCTAAAAATAGGGAGAAGGGGGAAGTTGAATTATTTGAGGAAATATGCACATAGCCTAAAAAATGCACATAGCCTAATACTGAACATAGCAGACCACYGAATACCTCATACTACCTCTGCTTATAAAGTGAGAGGTGTCAGAGAATGTTCCTAGGCCTGGTACTCATCTTCCAACAGAAGATAGTTCTGTTAGAATTCTATCAGAATAACCCCTTTTGGCTCATGAGAAATACTACTCCCCTAATAATCTCCACGGTTCAGGAATTAGTTAAGAACTATTCTTAACARGCATTTCTGATGCAGATTCTCTGTTTTGGAAGGATGGCAATCATCCCATGCTGGTTTTCTTTGTTGCTAAGAAATGGACCAACACATTTTYACTGGATTCAGCACCTAGGATGGACTTGGGCTTCACCTGGCCCCAGAGAATCCAGGTCAGCACATAGCAAGAAAGGTCCAGATGAGTATCACAGTGTTATTGTGTCTAAGGTGAATCTTTAAAAATTACACCCTTTTCCTTCCTCCTCTGCCAAGTTTTTGCCTCTGCATTAATTCCACACAGAAAGCTTCACTGGGTTCATGCAAAGCCAGGGGCTAGGAAAAGAAGTGCCTTCATGAAGTTGCTCAAGTTCCTCAAGCAAGAGAAGAAGAGGAAGCTCAATGAAAATAGCAAATAAACATTGAAAGGGTTCAAGTGTGGGGTGGTTTCAGCTAGTGCTGAAAGGAAATGTCACTTATCTTCAAAAGAGCACAATATTATGCTCATGATGTGTCATCACAACACAGGCACCAACAGTAGCACAACATGGAAATAAAAATCCAGGTGACTCAGAAGCATCATACCCCAAGCACTCCCTCCTTCCTTCCCTCCAAACTGCTAGAAAAGCTAGAAAGCAGCAGCTCTGCCCTGTGATTCAGTCAGCTGGGCAGTGACAGCATGTTGTAATAGCCGAATACAAGCACTTTCATGCAGATGTCTCAATACAAATTTGTGTCAACAGATATCTGAAACCACAGGTAACAACTTCCAAAAGAGTTGAGATGTCCAGGAATGGTCCACCTAGAGTGTGGTACATGCTAACAYGGAAAAGCTGGTTTAGGCTTGTAGGAGAATACACAGATGACTGCAAAGGGTGTTGGTTTCCATGGTTGTAGTACTCATTACCAATAGATCTGAGCAAGGGTATCATTACATTGCCAATGTAACAGCAGGTAAAATAGGATCTCAGCCAGAATCTAAACATCTCATGTATTATTTCAGAAAAAAATATTTGTTTCACTAAGAACAGATACAGTTGAAGAGGTTACTAACAAACTCCTTCATTCCTGGAATATGGATAGTACAAAATATTCAGGCAAAATACTACTTTTAAACGGCTATTATAATACCCATTATCTTTTTATTTAAAAGCTTGGAAAAATCTACAAAATAAAAAGCAGAGACAAAGGCATTGTGATTACTGAATGAAAACTCATTTTCTATAACAGGATCTTTTATGTAACTCCAAAGATGCAACTAAAATTCAAAGATTATCAAGTGTTAAGAGAAAAAAAAAAGCCTTTCCCCCAATTTTTTCAGTATATTTAATAGATAACAGAGTCCATCATGTTTAACTCCAACAGCAAAAATATAGGAAAATTGTTTGAGATATAAAATCCTCATCATGAAACCACAGCTTCTTTCAATCTGAACATTTGTCTTAACAACAAACAGATTCCTGCCAATGTGGAAACACAGTCAATCTGGTGAATTGCAAAAAACCACAACTGGATTTGGTGTTTAATATCCATAAAAATGAAGGCACTAAAATAGCTCGGTGGAGGGGCAAGACTAAAGCAATTTGGAAAAAAAAAAAAGTCTTTATATTAGTAAAGACATGCAGGTAGGGTGAATTTTTAAAAACATATACATGAATATAAAAGGGTGCATGTATATCTATGTATCGGAGGCCTGGTTTTCATGTGGAGATGCACAGGAAAAGATAYATTTTGTACCCTCTTCTCAGCATCAGTGTGAATACCTGTTTACAGCAGAAATTTAAAAACTCTTTCCAGGCAGCCCTGCCCATGGGTAAGAATGTCAGAAAGCAAATACCACCTCAGTCTGGAAAGTGTCTTTAATTTTAGTTGTTATTTAACTTGATCTTTTACAGAGAAACAAGGAATGAAAAGCATTTTACAAAGCTGTATCAKGATGTACTGATCACACAGAAGCTGCCCTCCTGGATTTCGCAAGCTGAAGGAAGACTAAGCCCATTGTCAGCTTTCACACTTTTAGCACTATTCTTTCCATTACAAATTCAAGAAAATTACAGTCATTGCAACACTAATCAAACCACTAGGAATACTACACACAGAAAAAGTGTCCTCCTTGCTTACTATCAGTGGGGATCTTCAGAAAATTTCCATATGAAAGGAAGAGTCAGACGGAAGACTTATGAATGAAGAGAACTGTGGGAAATTTTACAACTTAAAATTTCAAAGAAGAAAACAACAGGTGGTTATTTATCTGCTGCATAATATGAACACTGTTTCCATCATTTAGAAAAAATATTTAACAAAAACTTCAGTTTTATCAGAAACTTAATCTACCTTAGGACCTGAGCCTTGCCTCCAAGCTGCCATTAGGATTAGGCTTAGGGTTTGAGGTGTCACAAGGACTACAGTTCCAGGAACTGTACTTGGAAAAGGCATGACAATAGAAGCATGGCACAGCTCCAAAGGCGCTGCCTTCTCATCCACTTTTAGAATCACAATCATTTTCCTGGGGTTTAAGTCAGTATACTTAACCCTATAAATATACATCAAATCAACACAGCACACAAGATGCACAAATAATTTTTCAGTATAAAGACATCCTAATGGGAAAGACTGTAAGTATGCATTTACACAGTGTTTTTGTAATGCATGCTCACGGTAATTATCCATTGTATATTATTTTCTTTAGGAAATTAAATCTTTATATATCAAATTTTAAAATGTATGACTAATGGTATTAACAAGAAAATACAAGAAAGGGATATGCATAAACAGACACCCAAAACTTGCATATTGCAAAACGTTGCCTCAAAATTACACTTTTGGGAAACCACCTAGTGATTCTCAAGGACACAAAGTAACTGAAACTGAAAACAGATTAAGTCACCATTTGCTTTATATGGTTGCTGCGGCATTTGGAGGATATAAATCATCCAAGATACAAGAAAACTGGAAAAGCCACTAAGCTAGAAAGTTCTAGGACATAGACAGAACTAAAACCTGTTGCCATGTCTTAAAATGAATGCTGTGAAATATTGAATACATTGTAGTTTGAAAACTTAGCTCTCTTCCCTTATTTTCTGCTCCACATTCATTACTGGGAGAAAAAAAAAGGGGAGGTAAAAAGCCCCAGGCGTTTAGCCCCTGACCCACACATATGGAAGGTTGAGTGAATTGCTCTATTTACCTTTATCYCATCCTGTGGAACTGTCACTCCTTGTGAAAAGCTACAAACCCCTACCATTAAATTATTTTGTTAGTCTGTGAGAACTTGGCTTGGTGAACAGGCCTTACAAAACCTTTCTGTGCAAGCCTCACATAAAGCTCTCATAAACACATCCACGTATCAGGTGGCTTGTTATTAGTGGAGCAAGGGTGAACTTGYACTTACTGGAAATTTCGAAATTACTTTTTTGAAATGCCGCTATCCTGAAAAATCTTCCTAGGACAAACACGGAGGGGATAATCGAGTGCATGAGACAAGGCTTTTCTCACTTCGCCTGAGCAATGAACATACACCGGACGGGGCTCGGAGYAACCTGGTGYAGCAGAAGATGMKTCCTRTCCTGGCWGAGTWGGGACCAGACGATCTTTAATGTCCCTTCCAACCCACAGCGCCCTATGACGGTATGCAGAGGACAATTCACTGCGGCGCCCTGCGCTCGGCTTTGGCATCCTGCATCACCTTTCGAGAACAGRACTCACACACCCCGCCCGCCCCCGCACAGAGGGCGATAGCTCATCTCTCCGGCCCAGGGGATGCTCCCGGCAGGACGCCCTCCGGCCGGGCTGGGAGATGCTCCATCCATGGCCCGAGGGGTGCGCCCGGCACAGCGCTCCCGCAGCTCCCGAGGGACGCGGCTGCAGCCCCGCCACAGCTCTCCGGGGCACCCGCCACAGCGCTCCCGCAGCTCCCGAGGGACGCGGCCCCTGCCCCGCCACAGCTCTCCGGGGCACCCGCCACAGCTCTCCGGGGCACCCGCCACAGCTCTCCAGAGCACCCGCCACAGCTCTCCGGGGACCCGGCACGGCGCTCGCTCCGCTCGCTCCTCCCATCGCGGCTGCTCCGCCTTCCCGACCCGCGAGCCCTGGGAGGCTTTTTTCCGTGAGGAAGTGGCTCGACGGTGGGGTTGAAGGAGGAGAGAACTGCTGGCTAAGCGGAGAGGAGGCGGGGCAGGGCGGTGTGGGGGGGCAGGGGCTGAAGGCCGCGCCGGGCCCGGCCGAGTGCCAGCATGAGCGGCGGGGATGGCGGCGGGGGCCGGCCGGGCGCCCTCAGCTACGGCCTCCCCTCCATCCCCTCCAACAAACTCCCGGATCTGCGCTTTATCAGCCGGGGCGCTTACGGGACCGTGTCCGCCGCCCGCCACGCCGACTGGAGGGTCCCGGTGGCCCTCAAGTGCCTGCAGGGGCCGCTGCTAGACAGGTAYGGGGTGGGGAGGGGGCGGCCGGAGCGGGGCATCGCCAGGGGAAGGGCTGAGCTACACCCGCTTTTCCCTAAACCAGACCCCACAAAGGGCTCGAGGTGCCGGAACGAGATGCCGGCGTGGGGTTCTGAGGTCCGTGGATCAGATCTTGGTGTTTCCGTAGGCGGTCTTTCTTTGATTCCATGGGGAAGGGGGAATCCCATGAAGAGTGATTCAGCTTGAACCAAGAGAAACTGCGTACCGCCCCGGAGCTTCCTCTCTTTCGATTTTTATAAATGGGTGGTTTCCGTCTCGGTCTGTGAGACGCTAAGTTGTTTCTTTCGGAGATRTCATCTGCATTGTGCGCCTCGAAGTGGGATTGACAGAGTTTGGCTTCTTTCTGGGTCTCTTGCCTGCTAACCATTTTTCTGAGGTGTCAGTGGGATTACAGTGATTAGTATAGATTTGGTGTTTAGAGAGAGAGAGTGTACTTTGTATCTAGCAGAGATTGCTTCGAGCTTCTAGAAGAAGCTTCTCCAAGACAATGCACAATTACTATTTTTTCCCCAGATCTCAAAGTACTGAGAGGAGCTGATTTAAAATAATAGGCTTGTAGGCCCCYGTGTACAACTGGTATTTTCCATGTAACAATCGTGTTCCCCATTTTCCAGGGACCCAAGTGTCAGCATGTTTATTACAGGAGCTGTCATTTCATGTAAGGGGGCAGCAAGTTGTACTTTTTCATTCATCTCTGTGTCATTCGATCCCTATAGTTCCAATTTTTAACATATCAATGTAAATTTGCTGTCTGAAGCACTATTGGCTGTAAAGCTGCCTCTGAGTCTTGGTGTCTTTAAGTTTTGTTGCCTAAGATTTCTTTGATCTAGTRTTAAGTCTTTAGATAGTATAACTTCACTCAGAAAGGCTTCCAATCTCATGACCCGAAATACTAGAATTTAAGACAAGCTTGTTTTAAGCTCTTTCACCTCTTATTACCCGAGTGTGTGTATACTCAGGTTTTATCTCTGAAATCTTGCCAGAAATGGAATCTCAGTTATGTTGTATTCTCTGATAAGTTCCAGGGCTGGAGGAGGTTGTGTGGTGCGGGTTTTTTTTGTTTCGGATGTTTTTTTTAAATTTAAATGTCTGCTTAAATCCCTGCTAATTGGAAATACAGCATYTTTCCTCAGAACTTAGTTGGGAGAAAACACCACATGCTATTTTTAGGCTTGCAAGAATTTGGATTAACCTGTGAAATTATGATTAAAAGGGCAGGTGAGGCAATCAAAATAATTCAGTCACCTACCATATATCACACGAAGTCCAGAAATGCTATCAGAAGACTGAAAGCTGTAAAAAATCTGTTATACCTGAGTCTCTGCAGCAAGTGCTTTGTTGCTGTATAGCAGGCAATATAAAATGCCAGCCTGTTAGTGTTGTCRGGAAAAGGGATGAGTTCATGGTGCAGTTAATTCCCCAAGTGGGAAGTGTGTGCTGTGCATCCCAGAATATGGAATGTGACCCATCATAGAGCAAAGCCAGATGGGAAGCTGTTGTGGGAATGCRCTCATTTAGGCATTACTCAGTGCCCTTCTGGTATGGAGTAGACAAAGGTGAAGTGACTGACAGACACAGGAATAGATTTCAGCATGTCGCAATTTATTTTTTCTGCGACTACAGCTGAATCCCATTCAAATGTGCCTAACTGTCTGAAAAACCCCTAGCTTCCTCAAATCTAGTCATTTCTAGAAAGAAGGAGGAAGGCAGAGAGTTGTGTCTTTCGTCCCTTGCTTCTCTCATAGTCTGCCTTTTTACTTTTATAATTTCCTAGAGTTTCCTGTAAGTCTTTTTCCATCACACAGATAAAAGGACCTTAATTTCACATCCATCAAAATTCAAGGTTTCCTGAAAGAGAAAGAGCCACAGGCTTTAGCACAGGAAAAGAGCTTTTCCTGTTTAACTCCATACGCCCTGATGACCTTTTCTTTGTGAGGGGTGAATCCACCATGGTGGATCCAGACTGCCRCAAGTGCTTCAGGGTGTRCCCTGAGCTTGGTGGGCACAAACCRGCTCTCACCCTGGAGCTGTGCTGTGCACATCACACAGTGCTGTGCTGAACAAATCGTGGTGGACACAGCCCTGGCCYTAGCACAGCCCTATTGCTTCTGTCAGACTGGCTCTCAATCAAGGATCAATCTTAAATGTCCTGTAAATGTCCCGTATTTGGATATCCTAGCCATGTACATGTGTCTGTACCAGTCTCTGCTGGTATAAAATCTGATGCCYGAAAAAGGCTTAGAAATAAAACCCCATAGACTGGTGCCTATAGAGCTGTAGGTATTTGTTTATTACAACGCTGGCGTAGCACTGGAGGTGAGGGGGATTTCTCCTCCTAACACACCTGCCTTTGCTTCAAAGTAGCACATATTTATACAGTAAGCATGGTGTAACAGGAACATTGTCTCTGCCCCCCATATGCCCACCATACACCCACCACTATACATGGGCATGGAAATCCATGATATCACAGTTTTACAAGTGTGCATGTGTTATCCTAAATTCGGCGGTCACGGGGGTCTCCCCCTAATGAGATACCATCCTCTTCATCATGGTGGACTTTTCACCTTTATCTTCAGGGCATGCRCAGTTGTGGTGTTCATGTTCTTTTYCTAGTCCTYCAAGTYATAATTTTCAATTATTTTGCTGACTGTCCCGTACTTCTGCCAAGTTCTCATTAGTGCTCTCTATTGTTCCTTGTTTATARCATCTACCTGTCTACTTTCTTCAGAACTTTTTCTGATTTATGTCCCTTGGTGATTTCACATATCTATGTACTAATCCAGCTGGTTAGATTACGTGCAGCTGGTACACTATATGTTGCTRATACACTATTAAAAAACTTATAGCACTATATAAAAAGGCTATCATTGATAATATATTGAAAGTGATTACATTGTATTTTAATAATATGTAAAAAGTTATTACATTCTTATACTGATAATGTATAAAAAGGCTATAGAAAGTTTTGAATTAATAGGCCTCATAAGCACCTTGTCACTTTGATAAAGACCATATGTATCAGATCTAAAAGTTTTTTCATAGAATTATCCTTCGTAGTCCAGCTCTCCTCATTGACAACAAACCCTTTTTTTCAAGACTATTTGAGWTGTAAGGCATACCAAATATTTTCTATTTTTAGGGATAGAAACATTCTCAATCTTAAAAAAACTTGGTTTTCTCACATCCACATGCTACAAGGTCTGAATTTGTAAAGATGCATCAAACCCACATTTATGAGGAGCTTTGAGGTAACAGAAAGGATCCACRCAGTCAAATAGAGGCATAAAAACGTGATGAGGCTGGTCCATTCCTGCTTCCTGTGCAGCTAGGGAATGTTTTTTTCCAGAGAGCGATTTAAAGCAGGGGCTCAGTTTGAAGGAATGATTTCTGCRAAAACACAGCATAGTTAATTTCTCMTTTTTYCTTCAGWAGTTGAAAGTRCATTCCTTTAGACCCCATTATTTTAGTGTTCATCAGAGGCCACAAAATGTTGGAGAACCATGAATATTAAAATCTCCACTATCTAGGAGATAAAAATTGGGTCTTATTGAAAAGTCAGGGTTTGAAGATGTTCAGTAAAGTAGGACAAATACAATAAAAGTTAGCATTATGGTTACAAAGAATGGTGGAACTTGGAAGTTCTGACTGGATCTATATTTACTGAAAACATGGATGAAATGTGTGGTGGAAATAGATATGTGTGGTACAGCAAAGCCAGGGAAGCTGTCTTGTCTTTGCATTTGCAGATTCTAATTTGTCTTACACTGTCTTGTTCTCAAAACAGCATGGTAGAAATCAAATGGGAAAAGGTGGTGGTGCTACATACAGGGATATAATTGACAGAGAATATAGTTACCCCAGCATTTGTTTTGAGTTTCCTAATACTGATATGGTAATGTTTTTTATTTGTTTGCTTACTTTCTTTAAGTGATAGGAACCACCTTTTGAAAGAAGCAGAGATATTACACAAAGCCAGGTTTAGTTACATTCTGCCAATTTTGGGAATTTGCAACGAGCCTGAATTTCTGGGGATAGTAACAGAATACATGACAAATGGGTCATTAAACCAGCTGTTGCATGGGGTAAGTGTACTTATGGTCTTTAAATATTATACCTGACTGCTTCAAGCCAATTGCAATTTCCATACTTAGTATAGTAAAGTATTTTATTTACAATGTTTCGCATTAAAAGACAGTCATTACCTCTAGTAGTTTTTGGTGCTCAGGTAGGTCTTCTGTATTTCAGACAACTAAACTCAGCTGACTTAAGTTTTATTGAACTTTCTCCTTTAATGTTGTGACCTATAACTAGCTTTATGTTGAATTATTGCATGCAGTCACTTAAAAAATCTCAATTGTTCTCTAATTAGATTCTGAAATATGCTTACTTCAGCCTAGSTTTCTGAATAACTGCCCATACAAATACTGATATTTTTTCATAAATTTGAATATTTTAAAAAATTAATTGAAGATTTTGACTTTATAGAAGCCAAATGTTGCTGATATCAACAGATACAAATATTTCTACCATATCTTATTCTCTGAATAAGTTCTCCTGTGCTGAACTCTCAGTTGCTGCCATTAGCTTGGCCTGAACATAGTGTTGCTACTGTAAAGCTATTGCAATTGTGTCTCAGTAGCATTGAAAGCTTCTTCTCCCCCTTTAGTCAACACATAACTGATGCCATAGAGAGCTCATCTGTGTGTTTTTTCAAAAAGGCATTAGTGTCAATATAACTTTCAAGATTTCAGTTGAGTTTTACTGCAATTGTCTTATAATACTGGTCATATTTATAAAGGTGGCATTTTGTGCATACATTCAATACAGMTTTTCTTGTTCCCCAGTGTAATTTGAAGATATTATTTTTGCGATTCTTTGTGTAGGACTCATAAATTGTGAGTTGCAGCTTTCCTGCAGGAGTTCATCTGTAATTAATATTTCTACATGAATGAATAATGTAAATGTTCTACATCACATATAACAGTCGTGAATTATTATGTGAATGCTAGGGGTTGGAAGCATAGCATTGCATGGTTTTTATTTTTTAATAATATTTGTTTTAGTAGCTAAGGAGTCTTAATGCTCCGTTACAATTTTTTTAAGCATTTGTGTAGTGTATGTTTTAAAAGATTACTGCTTGCCCAAGTAACTTTCTGCTTCTTATAAAATAAGTCTTTGTGTTTGCTGTTTGATCAGAACAGAGGATTGTATTCAGGTTTTGTCATTTTATCTTGGCAGAAGGATGTATATCCTGATATTCCTTGGTGCCTGAGATTCCGCATTCTTTACGAAATTGCTTTGGGAGTAAACTATTTGCACAACATGAATCCTCCGTTGCTGCACCATGACTTGAAAACCCAGAACATTTTGCTGGATGATGAGTTTCATGTCAAGGTAGGGTTGTTTAATTCTTACCTTCTTCAGCATTCAGAATGAGAAAGTGTTTTAATTATTGTAGAGTAGGAAGGGTGAGGTTGCAGCCATACCGAGAGGATGTAATTGTATTCTGGACCTTTTCTTCTGTCCTTATAGACACAACTTTGGAGTTTTTCTTTTGAGAGCTCTCTATTACTCAGTTGTGGATTTTATCTATCTGAAAAGACCTGATTTTATCTATTTTATCTATCTGAATAGATAAATAGATTTTATCTATCTGAAAGATAGAATTTGGGCTGTTTCTGCTATAGCCGCAGCTGCTATGCAGTAGTGGTGACACTCTTGTTTGTCAGCTTTCYACAGGTAACTACATATGGCCCTCTCTGAGAAAAAAATAGAAAGTGTTCCTGCCCAAGATGCTCTGACAAGTTACTTCTGATAGGCAGTAGGTCAAATTCATGTGTTAATGCTCCAATTGATATTTCTCATGCAATATGGACATAGCTATTCTGTTGCTGTAGAATAAGAGCATGTAAACCATGACTTCAAAGTCTGAACATGTTGGAARATGTATTTTGTGAAGCTCCTTAGAACAAGCAAACATATATGGAGAATTATGAGTAGTTTAAAACTTCAATTCTGCCTTTTAAAATGCCACCGCCAATATGTAAAGAAGAGACTAAAAGTACTTCTGACAAAATGTTTGGGTGCTTCCATAACTGCAAGACTTCGGTTTGTTGTTTCTTGTTTTTTCCAAAGATCCTCTGTTTTTAAAATTGATAGAAAATGTTCTTCTATCTCTATTGCACAGAAATTTTTSTTGGCAGCAAAGTGCTTCATGTGGCCTTGTCTCCACTCACACCCTCAGCAGGTCATACCTCCTCCCACTCAGTTGTGCCRGTATTGCCATCTCTTGAGCTTCTTGATAAACCTGATCAGGGAACTAGTCCAAGCCATTTTTTTATCCACTCCTTTTTTAATCCCTAAAAGCTTTGGTGTGGCCTGGTGCTCTGAACAGTTTATTTGCTGGAGCAATTGAAGGGAAGAGACCTTCCCTGTATCCTGCAAGGAGAGTCCTTGGGGTTTTAAACAAAGCAAGATTCTCTAAATTAGTACAGCTGACAGGGAGTGCAAGAAAGGTCATCATGTATGCCAAATAGAAGAAGTATTGCATATGTATAAAAGGGACACCATTCACAGAGTGCTTCTGACTGTCCCTGATCTACTGAATGAGCAAGAGTTAAGATCAATTACAAAGAGGAAGGCTTGATGAGAGTGAGTGGTAGAGAAGAAAGGTTAYTTTTTATTGTGGATTTTGCTCTTCTCAAAGCTTGTTTCTGTTGTCATAGTTGCCACAGAGCTTGCCCAGGCACCTTTGCTGAAAATGTCTTTTCTATTATGCAAATACTGGACAAGTGCAGAGCAGGTAGCTGGCTGCTTACCTCTCCCCCATATATGCCAGACACCACAGCTCAGCCAGCAGGTGTATTCTGCTAAATGTTTATCTCCCTACCCGTAACCTAATCTGATATCTGGCGCCCTGGCTTGTGAAAGCATGAGGATGTAATCAGTTACTTCTTCATGTAGGTGCACTGTAACCTGTAGAAAGGGGCAAGGCTCCAGAGTACATAGTAAAGAAAATATTCAGCAACTCCATGCAGCACAGAATTTCAGAATGTCAAATTTATTCATTCCAGACCAACATGTCATAGTTTTGGGACTGAGGCGAAGTGCCCTAAAATTTTTTSGTGAGAGGAACTACCTCAGGATATTGCCAAGCTGAGTTATATACAGCTACTATGATTTATACTAAACTTGTGCTTTTTTTACAGCAAGGGAAGCTACAAGTAGTCAATGATCTATTGTTTGCTTTTTTAACACAAGGAAGTGATTTTCTTCAGCGCTATCTCAGGAGATTCTTCAGCCCTTCCTTACAAAAACAGGATAGGGCAGTGCTTTAGGGATAGCATGAGTCATGACCTGAGAATGCTTTATGGACTGGAGTCAATGTTTCCTGTTGCTAGGAGAACCACATATTTTTGTGTGTCGGGTTAAGAGCTTTGGGTGACCCCTTCTTATTGGCATATTTCAGGAATTTCAAACAACTGACAGCTGATAAATCCAGTTTATCTTCTCAGAACAACTGATTTRACTTTTCCAGATTGCAGATTTTGGCATGTCTAAATGGCGTGTGGTATCCATGTCACAATCACGAAGTGAATCCTCTTTGCCAGARGGAGGGACAATTATCTACATGCCACCTGAAGATTACAACCCCAGCCAGAAAACCCGGGCAAGTGTGAAACATGATATCTACAGGTAACACACGTTGTTCTCAAGTGGGCTTTGAAATTTGAACTCAGATTTGATTTACTGAACTTAGATTTTAACATATTCTCAGCAATTTTATTTTTTTTCAGTGGCATAGGCAAAATTAATTGGGAAATAAAGAATTGAGTGATAATGGATTTAATGACTCTTTTCTTTTATGCCGTGAGAAATGTAATGCTCAAAAAATTTATCTGACTACAAAACAGTTTGAGGAGACTGGTTTCTATAAATAAGCWTATACATACAGACAATGTAGGGAAAGTAGAAAGCCATTCACAGCATTAACTCAGTRCACATACTCTTTTAATTTATGTAATCAATTAACATAATTTGCAGAATGTACTTGGAGGAAAGAAGACAGCCTATTTTTGGAAAGGAGGTAGAGAAAAACAGGACCCTGGCATTGGAGAAAGTTGTYGTAGGGGTTTCCTTAAGGAATAATTTACTTCATGAACGTTGTGGTAGTTTTGTKTTAGTCAGTCCTGAGTACAAGTAATCAAATAGTAAATAGAGTGGTAGTGGCCCATATAACAAAAGGCAATCACTCTGAGGATATTGGAGTTACAATTGGCTGGTCTGAAATGGTTTGGAGAGTTCAGAGATTACTTGAAAAATTTTGGGAAGAATTGTCATGTGTACATGAAGATGGAGGAGGCATGAACTGGTCAATTACTGTGACAAAGTCCATTATTCTGGTGCAGTCTGCCACCTTTACTTTCACCAATCTCTGACACAGATGTAGAGATCACTCAGTTTCAGAGGGTCCTGCTCACTTACAGGGAGGCCACTATTTCWCTTAATCATCCCTTGCCCTTAAGGGGCACATGAAGTTCCTTCGCATTCCTGTCCAAAGAATACAGATGACAATATACCTGCTTTCCTTACCCTTTGATGAGAAAATACAGATTAGGAAAACATTGAAAAAAAGAAACCTTGTATTATGGGAAAAGAAAGGGGGACTGGTGACTTAATGAATGGATGGAGATGAAGAAGACAAATGTTTGTTAGATTGAAAAAAATTCTTTCAGAGGAATAACAACCAAATGGGAGAAAATAAGAGAACACATTAGTAAAAGGGCATAGAAAACTGAAAAATTGGGAAGGAAGGAGATTATTTGAGAAGAAGAGAAGCTGAGACAACATTGGAAAGAGGGATGTTCAAAGAGAGAAGACATGAAGGTGCAGAGACAGTGAAGGACCACACAGGAGGATCTGTGCATGATTAGAAGGAGATGCTATGAMGCAGAAATAAGAAAGGAAAGCAGGAATAGTGTAAAGGGCAATGCTGCAGTGTTGCAGAACTGAGAAAATAACGTTTAACTGTAGAGAGGTTCCAAACTRAATGAAAGATATTATTAAATATTTGGGTATTTTCCAGATGTCTAATTAATTGACCATAGCTGAGTATTGTTGAGGTATTGAAGCTGATTTGTGAAAAAGGATCTTTGCTAAGGAAACAAATGGTTTAAACAAAAATCAAACACCATTAACTTCTACAAAAGGGATCATTTGCTTYACCAAAAAAAACAGTCTGCATGGATTTATCAGGAGTGCATCAAAACTATATTTTCKAACAGGGAGAACTGCTTTTATTAAAAGTTACATGGATACATTTTATCATTGGTAAAAGTTAAAATGTAAACTGAATAAATAGGAAAACTCAATTTATGTGGCTGCTTTTAAGCATCAATTATTTGCTTCTGCGTWTTTTTAATTCTTCTTAATTGGTTGCTGTCAGTTGATACAGTGTAGTTAAATGTATCTGTATGCAAAATGTGGTACTTTTTAGTGGTGCAGAAAGAAAGCTCAGTATGTTTGCACCATGGGTGGGGAGCAGCCCTTAAAGCAATTGATCATGGTGATTRTTTTCTGGAATGACAGTGTCGTAATGCCTGTAAAGACTTGGACTGACAGCATGGAAAGATTAATTTGTCAGCATCTTGCATGTACTCTGAAATTAYGGAAGGACTGAAGTTTTAGCCTTTTCTAAATCTGAGTAGTGGAACTGGATAATTCAGTACAATTGTGGGATTTRTATTAGGACCTTTTGGGATAAATCATGGAATAGAGCTTCATTTAGATGTGGTAGAATATGCCWAGGAAAAAATGGAGAGRAGGACTGMGACTTTAATGCTGCTTTTAAATGAAACCATGTAAACTTATTTAAATGATAATGTTGTTTAAAGTTACATTTTTAAAATACATCCTGATGGCTRAAGAGAGTGACTAGTTTACTAAAGATGGGGCAAGTTTGTACTCACCRAACCACTTGCCTTTCATGTTGGTGTGAATGGAAAAGAAGGTCACTGGTTTGAGTAAGCACATGTGTGTTCAATCTCCTGCATTCGTTCAGGGTGGGTGCTGCATGTGAGTGACATCTCTCCCTGTGGAGAAGATGGCTTATGTTGAAAGCATATCTGTGGGCATGGGGGTAGCTGGCATGAGCAATCCAAGTGTAAGTTTGTGTCTTACCTGTCTCTGTGATATTTTGTTGGGATAGGGGTGTGGGTCAAAGCCATCYTCCTTGATAACACCCAGCTTTCCTTGGGAATGTCAGAGAGTGTCAGTCCCTTCTGGGAATGGGCCAGAGTATTGCAGTTAGGATGGAGCAGCTGGCTCTCTGGGGCTCACTTGAATTTGCGTGCTGAGATTTAAACTCGATGTACGTAATTCACAATGTATTAGTAGAGCAAAGTTAATACAGATCAGGAATAGAAGTTTATGTGCCATGGATCTTTCCTGTACTTAATGGTATTAACTAGTTCTAGCTGAAGTCACTGGTTACRATTCCTGCTAGTTTTCAAATATTCATGTCACCATTTTAATTAGCTACAGTCAATCCCATGTGTGGGCTGGTAAAAACACCAAGATGTTTTAAAAAAAATGTAAAGCCAAGCATATTGTATTACTGAGTGTTGGTTGTCTAAAGTAACATCTTCTGTAYTTTTTATACTTTAAACAGTTACGCAGTTATCATGTGGGAAGTGATGTCAAGGAAACAGCCATTTGCAGGTAAGGTTTCCTTTAATTAATTTTCCTTCCTCAGCTAGAGGTTAAACCTAAAACCTGGGGATTTCATTTTAGGGTTTACTTTCTAATAATGCAACTTGTAAGCCTGTTGAAGAACATATGGGGATACTTTTCAAATTAGATTCATTTTTTAGTGACGTTTTCTTTTTTAATGAGAGTGTTGTTTCATAAATTAAAAGTACTTTTTTAATCAATTAAAAAAGAAATATAAACTTGTTTTCATGAACGATAATTCTTTGCCTGCAAATCAATTATTCCTCCTAGAGAGTAAGCTCTTTATATTGCATATATTTCTAATGACTTCACAATGTCTGTTTTGACAGAAGTTATAAACCCCTTGCAGATAATGTATAGCGTGTCACAAGGACAGCGACTAGACTTGAGTGAAGAAAGTCTATCAATGGACGTTCCTCATCGAGGGCTTGTCATCAGATTGATGGAAAGTGGATGGGCACAAAACCCAGATGAAAGACCATCATTCTTAAGTGAGTTTACCTTGCACAATGAGAAGGTTTTTAAACTGTCAGATTTCTCTTGAACATGGTACATACAGAGCAAAGTCATAGTTGTGAAAGAGAAGTGTTAAAGATGTCAGGAGATATATGTGATCAGTCTTGTTGCTTATGRTAAGGTGCACGGCTGCTTCTTTGATATCTGCAAACAAAATTTTATTAATGGAATTCTGTGTGTGCCATAAAACCAGATTGGTTGGTTGGTGGAGTCTTTTGCATCTGCCATCTCTTAATTTACCTGTAAGAAAGCTGCAAATTTTGTTTAACTACTTGTGTTTGAAGGATTTTTGTTTATTGTTGAAGATAATTTGGGGGTTTTAAGCAGGGTGGGAGAAGTGAAGTATAAAATGAGTACTGTGGGATTTATGAGCACACAACCAACACCAACAAGTCACTGCACATCAGATGAATTGTAGTGACTTCAACTTACGTTTGCGTCTCAGTATAAATCTTTCACTGGCATTTTATCTTTTATTGTTCCGTGTCCTTTATCAATCTAGAACTGGATTTTTCTTTTCTAAGCAAGGAAATGCATCTTAATACAATATTTTCTAAAATCAAAAAAGAATAGACACATCATGATATTTCTGTATGGATTCTGGTCTTCCTATGCCAATTAACAAAAAAGAAAAATGGCAATTTAAGTCTATGGTCACACTGAAGGGAAAATTTTCTGGAATATGTACTAGAGTGTGAGCTAATTTGGCATCTCTTCTTAGTGCCATGTCTGTAGTAAGATAGTCTTTGGGAAAAAAATACATTGCYTTTGCCTCTACTTAACTATCATAGAAAGAAATTGCAAAATTGTTGAAAAAGCAAGGGAAGTAAAGCTGACTGGCGGGGAACTTAAGCAGTACCATAACACAGGGTCACAAACACAAAAACACTCAAACCCAGTTTTTATTAAATAAGAAGAGCTCAGCTAACCTGTCTGTTCCTCTTACAAAGAAAGGATAAAGACTGCTTATCACCATCTTTCTGCATGTGCTTGGAATGTGTACCTACAATTTAATTATAGTCAACAAAAATTGACCATGCTAGTATTTCAGTGTGAAAAATGGCCTGCCAAACCTATAAAACTCCCAGTGTTGAATGCTTGTCTTGAAGATGCTGGTGTAAAAAAAGGTTCATATGGAAGAACAGTGGTAAAATTGTAATAAAAACATAAAACATATTAATAAGGATGCCATGTGATGAGTTGCTAGTATGGTAAATTAGTTTTTCTGAATCAGTGGAGTTCAGAAAAAATCAGTACAATTGTGATATGCTGTCATCCTTTCCTGAGGTTTTGTTGCATTTGAGCACAGTTTCAAAGACATTTTTATAACACATTTATGTCATAATGTGGAATATTTAGTATTATAAACTTGTAAACACTGGGAAACAGGGGAGCATAGCGCAAGTGGTTGTTGGCTTATTGGACTGTCATGTGCCTCTCTGTGTGAGCAATGATTTTAACTTCTCTGACCCGCTGCATTTGGTGAGAGTGAGGCCAGTGTCATTTGGTTTCACTGGATGTGATAGGTCAGTGCTTTGACTGTCCCATCTYCTCTGGCCCTGCCTCATGCCTTAAGCATGTATTTTGGATATTGCTGTTTTGGGGTTTGTTTGTCTTTCTGGTATAAGTCTTTAACATCTCTTCTGGAGTGGGAAGACAGCAACCCACTCTGAGGTCTTACGGTGTTTGGTCACATTCARCCAATCAGGTTTGATGGGTCTACCTTAAAACACAGCAAACTCACCAGTCTTTCCATTCCACAAATGCAAGACTTACAGTCCAGCACAGTCCTGRGTCTCTTTTGATACACAGTGATAAGGTGGCCATATCAGGACAGGGTTTCCTTTGGTTGTGCGAACTGTTCTAATAAGTAGAAGCAAGCAGCTTGTTTTAGTAGCATTGGTGGTTTGATATTTATCCATAGATTATTTTTGTAAATGTGAGAAAGACACTTTAGTAAAACGACAACTTGATTTCACTTCAAACTATTCACAAAGTACTCTTCCCCTGTTTAGAATGTTTAATAGACTTGGAGCCAGTTCTGCGAACATTTGATGAAATAGCTATGCTGGAAGCAGTAATTCTGTTAAAGAGATCAAAGGTACGTAGCTTTTGTTAGGGTCATGAGTTGGTCAAATAAGTTGGTAACTTTCACCTTCTAAARGAAGTGTAATCTCCTTTGTTATTTCTCCTCAGTCTCCTTTGTGTAGTCTTGTATCTGGTTGAAACATGTGTTTATGCAGAGCTGTCATCTTGTCTTAYAGCAGAAATCTAGTACAGGTAAATGTTTCTCTTGCAGTCACTGTATGAATCACGATGTATTTACAAGAGTGGAAAGAAAGCAAATGGAGAGCAGACGTCTCTAAATATACCTCTGAATCCTGAAAAGGTAAATACTTCACATGTTGCATTTGGTGTGTCAACATCCTGACYACTTAAAGGAAGGTTAACTTAGTAGGGGGAGTTGTTCTGCACTTTCCTGCGTGGTCAGGAAAGGCGTGAAATGCATCACGTGAGCCAGGGTGTGACAAGTGCAAAGCCATATATGTAAACATAGTAAAGGATGAATATGCAGAAATTAGAAAGGCACCTAAATGTGGGCAAGCTCTAAATATGGCATGAAGCTGTGCAAGGGGTTTAGATTAGTTATCAGGAAAAGGTTCTTCCCCCAGAGAGTGGTTGGGCACTGGAACAGGCTCCCCAGGGAAATGGTCACAGCACCAAGTCTGGCAGAGTTCAAGCGTTTGGACAGTGCCCTCAAGCACATGGCATGACTCTTGAGGATGGTGCTGTGCAGGGCCAGCAGTTGGAYTTGGTGATCCCTGTGTGTCCTGTCCCACTCAGCATATTCTGAGTCTGTGATCCCCTCAAGGAGGGATGCAACACACAATGCATGCCAATAGTAAAAGGATGTCCACTGCTCACTTACACTTCTGTGGAGCTTGCTTGTATAGRGTGATACAGACTGGCATTTATGTTTTGATTCTTAATGCTGCTGCTTTTGGTTCTCACTAGTTGTTRAACCTGTATACAAAATTGCTGTCATCTTTGGAAAAATACAAGTATTGGGATTATATAATTTCTTCTACAATTTTAATCATACTTCTATTGAGCATTTAGATAGCAGGGCAAACACAGTGATGGAAAGGTTCTCTAAAAAAATTGCAAATTCATATTTGTTTAATGTGCCTGTTCACCTGGATTTCTTTCAGCCAACATATTCTGACTCCATACAATGTGATGCACTTCCCCTTCGGAGCATCTCTCCAGATGCATCAAAACTCCAGTCTATTCCCCAGTGTAATATCCTCTCATCAGGTAAGATGGTCTTTGTGTAAATTTAAGTTCCCATTGCAGCTTTACACTCTCACTGTGACATAGCATTTGAATAGAATGTCTATGTCAGAAAAAGATGTCTTTTGTAAACTTTGTGCTCTGGGTGAAAACAAGAATTTTTAAGTTCTGATTTTTCTGTTTCTGTCACTTTAGAAATCTCTAGAGCTCACAGGTTCAACTTTCCTGCTCAAATGTTATGAGTGCAGAGGTAACATTTACTTGTCCCTTCAGACTGTGGGCAGTTTAGTTAACTCCTTTTTTTTTTTTAATTTGTGAGCCGCTTCTGAATATAAAAAGGCTGCACATTTTAAGGCATTCTAGAAGCTGAGTAAACTCAAAGTTTCCAGTACAGCCCAACCTTTAGATGAYTTTTCATTCAATAAATAAAAGTGGTTTCAGTAGATTGCTTTGAAAAAGTATCTGCACAGACCTTTTGTAGCTATTCCCTTTTATGAATAAAAGTTGGCAAAATTCCCCGAGAAAACTCAGTTTTGAGGTTTTGTTGATGTCAGAAACCAGAAAAATGCTGTGGGTCCCAGGTGTAGTAACAATACATTGTGGAACTAAAACTGCATATAAGTTTCTTCTCTTGATGGAATGCAAACATATTTCAAAAGAATGGRGTGTCCTCTGGCATTGCAGGGACCAAGAGCATGAAATCAGACAAGATTGTTGACTTCACTGCTATAAAATAAGGATGTCAAAAAGTATTCTGAGGTGCTGTAAAGCCAGAGATGCTCTGGTAGAGATAGGAGAGCACAGGCAGTTTCTTTTTCAGCTCCTGTTTGAACACATACACAGTTTTGCACTTCTACTCAGTGTACTAGAAAGATATAAACACAGGAGGAATCTGGGAAAATAAATTATGGGTGGTTTAAGGATTTTCAGTTACTGGAGAAAATRGCAAAAAGCAATTTCAGCTGTACCTCAGCAGAAGCATTTACCTACACGTGGCATAAAAATCTCAGAGATGAAGAATAACTCATATTTACCTAGCTTAATAAGTATGTTGTGATGAATTTTAAAATACGAAATATTAGTTGAACATGAGCTGTAAGTGTAATCACATAAAATAATGATAAATACCAGCCTTTCTTGCTGATGGTTCTGTTAAAAATTGTTATGTCTGCCTCTGAAGGTTAGCAATGAAAATTTGTTGGTGCAATTAATTTGATTGATCAGCTGGTGGTCATTTTATGGAGTCATTGCTTAGACTTTATTGTGTTTATCTAGAGATACTGTAAAGCTTGTGAAAATAGTGCCTACAAAACCCTACCACTGCAGAATTGTTTGTTATTACTTTGCCAATAGCTGCATCAGGTGGTGTTGTAGCAGAAAGCAAGACTGACATTCCTCATYTTTCAAACTCAGATACAATTGTTTCAGGTGAAAAATCTATTCCCAGCTGATAGCAAGGGAGGAGTTTGGCATGCCACCAAGGCAGAAGTTAATGACAATAGATTTTAGCTGAGTTGTTTTTTTCCACCAGTACAATTAGAATACTTTTTCAGAAAATTGCTTCTTCAGAGTTAAGTTTCTCTTTTAATCTTTCCTTTTTTTTCCCCTTCCCTAGCGAGCTTTTCTTGGGTATTTTTTTAAACAGCTCTTTTCCCTCTTCTCATTTCATTTCTGATACGGAGAGTAATCCTTTAATATACTTTGTTTTGCTAGCTGAACAGGGTGCACTCTTTTGAAATCCCTTTGTAAAAATAAACTTCTAGTATCCTAACTAGTCCTGGTGCATATTCTAACRTAAGTCATTGAACCAAGGCTACTTAGTAGTAGAAAGAGATGACAAATGTTTTTTGTTAAAAAATCCCGTCTACTTAGTATACCTTAGAATTTTATTTTTTCTTTTTCACAAGGTCCTTCATTACGGAATAATCTACTTAGGGGTTGTTTTTTTCCTCATTTCACTTCAAATCATTAGCCCCAGCTTGAAACAGAAAGTCTATATCTCATATTTTTCCTTCTGTATTTCTACTTATGTTACTCTGGTCTTCTCGGTCACCTAGGTTCTTTTTGAGTAATTTGAGTCAATCTGTTTTTTTCTGAATAATACCTGAATAACTCTCATTAGCATTTTTTTGAGGGAACTGGGATTGTTTAGCCTGGAGAAAAGGAGGCTCAGAGGAGACCTCATTGCTCTCTATAACTGCCTGTGAGGASGTTGTGGCCAGGTGGGGGCCTCTTAACTGACAAGCAATAGTAGCAAGAATAGGATGAGGGGAAATGGCCTTCAGGTGTGCCAGGGAAGTTTAGATTGGGTATCAGGAAAAATTTCCTCAAGGAATGAGTTGTCAAGCATTGGAACAGGCTGCCCAGGGAAGTGGTTGAGTCACCAGCCCTGGACATATTTTAAAGATATGGCATTTCAGGACATGATGTARTGGTGGACTTGGCAGTGCTGGACTCGATGATCTCAAGGGTCTTTCTGACCTAAACAATTGAGTGATTTTATGTCTGCATTTTTTTATGTTGTGGTCACTTGTCAAGGTAATTCTCTCATACCAGTACAATCCTAGTAGTTTTGTCTTTTTCTTAGTAAATYAAACATGTATGCCTAAAGATCTTTAACAATCTGTCCCAGCAGAGCAGCTTGAAATGCTTTTCTGAAATGATCTTTCCCTGACAGTGGTTGTCTCCTTATCCCTTTTCATTCAAGCAGTAGATAATACCTGCTGCTTCACACTACATAGCTCTGCCCAACTTTCTCTCTTGTTCATGAAATAAAATACTAGTTACTGTGAGTTCTAATCCACCATTTTAAAAATACTGAGGATGTTTCCTACTCCTGCTCCATGTACTTACAGACATGTTCTTCTACAGGTCAACAATCAGCTGGGTATACACCTTCAGATTTCCCCATTGGACAGGTAATCTTGAGTTGTCCATGGGGCTACCTCATTGTGTCTTTAGATGTTCATCTGAATTCTTGCAGCTGCATCTCTGGTTCWCACTTAACATCTTATGAAAGTGTCATTATCAGGTGACACTGTGAAAGTCTGTACTCAAAGCTAGTTACAGAGTTAGGCACATGTCCTGTAGTWCATTTTTCATCAGCTGCTTGTCATCTCTTTCTTGAGTCATTCCTACTGCTGCTTTCATACMTGTCATCCTTTTCTACTATAAAAAAAACCTAAAACTAGAAACTGTTAAACTTCCCACCTGATATAAATCCTTTTTACTTTTCTTTGCAGAAGTTTACATGAAGCTTTCATATCCTGTTTTTGATGTGCAGAAAGCTCCCATTGGCCTTTCACTGAATGTAAACACTGCTCTTCATGGCCTTTTCCCCTGTCTGAATCTTTAWTATTTTCACCGTTGTTACACTGCCAAACTTCATCAAAATAAATTATTCTGCTTTCATGCTGATTTCCAGTTACCTCTCCAAATACTCAAAGGATTTATTTTGTTCTTCTGGCGCCTAAAAAATTTTTCTGTCAAAGAGAGCTTTTTCATTAAAGTTTATATCTAGCATATTTGTAYTCCCAATATTTCTTTCAAATAAATCAGGACCCCAAAACCCATRGTCAGGCCCTAGTAAAATATAAGGGACATAAATGTACTCAGAATTTGAGTTGGTTTATGACCTCTTCTATGGGATTGCTCTAAATTGTCTCTGATGGCTGTATTTTATTTGAACACAGAAGTAGTACATCTTGTTCTTTTTCTTCTTTCTCCTTTTTTTTTTTTTTTTCTAAGATGGAAATTCTGGGTGTCTACACTCTCTCAGAAGCCAGAGCATGGATGGAAATCTGTCTGTACCTCAGAGTGCCAAAGTCCTTGTGCATCCTTACAGTAATGTTCTCTCATCTGACAAGACTATTTCAGATGCCTCAAGTTCTGCATCCTGTGTGCTGCAGTCATCACCGGTTCCTTCAGGTACAGAAAATTTAATTTTATTCCAACACTCACAGTTAGTGTTCTAACATAAATRTATGTGTGTATGAAATGGAAACTGGAACTGTTACTCATCTGCAAAATGAAAACAAAACATCTTCAAATKAAGAATGCAAGTGATTCTGTCTTGTAGACTTACATTACAAAGTAAGCAAAATCAGTGTAAAATGTGACCAAGTACCTGTAGCTACTAGCTTTTTAATCTTATCTTAATCAAATTCCTGCTGSCATGGGTCTTCTTTGTCCCATTCCCTTTGCTCATATTATTTCTCCTATCTCCTGCTCCCGTAGCAGTGTTACAGTCCAGCAGAATGGGAGAAAAACTTAGTCTGAACTTAGTCACCTTGTTGCCTGCCACTCCTCACTTTTTAGGCTTTTCAGTCTTCCACTTAGTAATGGTGGGGCAAGGAGAAGCAGCATCTGTGTCAGCATCTCACCTTGAATGACCCTCTGTGTTAGCTGAGAACCCACTACATTATAGTCTTATGCTTCAAATAACTGGTAAAAGTTAACACAAAATTTAACAAAAAGGAACTTTCATGGTGAATTATTCAGAATTTTTATTTGAGGGGCCACACAATAGCATGCAACTTTATAAAAATCTCCTGCATCATCTCTCTTCTGAGAATCAACACCTTTTCACTGTGTGAATCCCCCTTTTGAGACAAACACCAGGAAATTACAGGGATATTTTCAGTAAACTTCTATAAAAATCCCCCTGGAAAGTGAATTTACCACGTGTCTCTTTTTAGTACCAGGTCGGGTTGAACACTGGAACAGGTTGCCCATGGAGGCTGCAGAAGCAACATCACTTGGAGATGCTCAAAATTCAGCTGGACAAGGCCCTGAGCAGCCTGAGTTATCCTTGAAGTTGGCTCAGCTTTGAGCAGGCCTTTACAACAGATGATCTCCTTGAGGGTCCTTTCCAACCTAAATTATTCTGTGATTCAGATAGAATAAATATTCTAACCACCAAATTTGTCAAATTGGAACATTTTAACAGTTTTTTTCTCAGTTCATTGTTCTGTGGCAATGTTTATTGACAGGCAATTACAATCACTTCCTCTTTTCTAATCCTTTCCAATCTCAGATTTTGTATTGGAAACCATACATCAGAATGTAGCTCATCAGTGGATCCAAAGTAAAAGAGAAGAAATTGTTGATCAGATGACTGAAGCATGTTTGAATCAATCACTGGATGCTCTTCTATCAAGATTTTTACTCATGAAAGAAGATTATGAACTGATAAGCACCAAACCTACAAGGACATCAAAAGTACGACAACTGCTTGATACTTCAGACAGCCAAGGAGAGGAATTTGCCAGAATTATAGTACAAAAGTTGAAAGATAACAAACAGCTAGGACTTCAGCCTTACCCAGACATTGTATATAATTCTCAAAGACTGCATCTTTAAATTTATTCTTTCTTTTTGAAACCTTGTGAATATTTCTTACAACATGATCCTTGTTTCTATATAGTATTTTATATATGTGCAGCTTTGTCTTTACTGTGCCTTTGCAGAGTCTCAGAATTGACCCTGCGTTCATCTACCCTGCATTTCATGAATGATCAGTTAGTAATTTGGAGTGCAATCATAAAGCCAAACACTTGACAGTTGTTGACTCAGTTTGTAGAAGTATTTTGTTTATACATGACGAAAAAAAGCATTAAAGGTTGGCTATTTTACATATTTGTTGTTTATACACATCCTTTCCTTTCACCTCACAGGACTGAGGCAGCTCATCTTACCATGGCATGTTTGTTTTCCACCTTCCATCTGCTCTTTCCACAGGGGAGGGAAAAAAATCTAAGTGCTCTATTCCAGGGCTGTTCTGCTGTGTGTATAATAAACTTTCTTCCTTAAGCCACGTTGGTGYACATACAGAAGAGTGGTAGGTGGGAGGAAGTTTACATGGTGTTTTTACAGGACATTTTATTGGTTTGGAGTTTTTTCCCCATTTTGTTGCCAGACCAAGTGTYTCTGACCACAGCAAAAGAAGAATGTAAGTCCAAAGAGGAGCCCAAGGGCAAGGAGGACATTGTGCTTGTCATATTTGTTCTGCTCAGAACTGATACAGTTAAGTATCAGTTCTAATCTAAGTGTCGACCAAAAAGGCTGCAGCTATAGCCTTTTGCATTATTTGGTTATAATCACTTCAACTATTCTTGAAATCATAGTGGGGTGAGATCAAGATAGAGTTTAAATAAGGGTATCCTCAGTTAACASCTCTTTTACATTTCCTTGGTCATCTGCCTTGCCTTTGTCATCTGCCATTTTACCACCCCTTAGCTTTGTCAGCTGCCATAAATATTTCTCATGTCATCTTATAGGATCAAATTTCTGACTCAGTTTTGGTATTTTCATAACAAACAGTAGTTGGGTGTGTACAAAGATCAATCATGCCCTGCCCTGCACTGCTGGAATAATGTGCAGGGGTCTCCTGCCATGACCTGCCTTAACCTTCTCTAGATAACAACTCTGCTGTCCTTTTTCTGTCTGAAGAATGGTGCTAATGTGTTTCAGGCACAAATGAGGCTACCTGRGAGGAAAAGGTATGTGGTATTTTTGTGGTATTGTTTTCAGTTAATTTCACAAAACCTTAGGGACTTTATCTAGGTGACTTCAAATCTAGTAAAAAAAATTACTGGTTTTAATTTGTTGGAACACAGCACAGGCAGATTATTTTYGCAAGCACTAATAAATAATTATAATTGTACTATCTAAAATTTGGGAAAACTCAAACTCCACATACAAGAATGCTGAAATCTGCCATATAAAAGGAGCAGATAAATGAAAAATCCTAMGCAATGGCTGTTTCAAAACCTATGTAAATGTGAGATCTCCTCCATTTCAATGATTCAAGTGTCAGTGTCGTCATGACTGGTTACCAACAGCTTACTTTTTTCAATATCTTTATGATTTTGTGAACTGAATCATAAGAATACAATGTATATTTTATTGGATGGGAGGGACATAAAATTCTTTTTAATGAAGTAAGTCTTTGACATAAGCTGGGTATTTGCCTTTTATTCTGCTTCTCTCTGGAGGCTGTAAAATTCAAGTTAGATAACTGAAACTAGGACCATAGTGAAAGAATGGCTGTGCTTTTTCTAGAGCAGACCTAATGGTGTCTAGCAGGGAGAGGTGTGAGGAAAGCTGCCAGCCCTGCCAGTGGAAGTTTGATGGCAGAACTGTGTGTTTCACTGCACATCACATTTTAAGCCACATTATTATTGGTGCTTAAAGAAAGATATGTGTCATCCAAGGTAGCAAAGATTTCTTCAGTCTGTCCAAAATTCATCATGTGTTAGGTGAAGCTGGTGAGAGAGACCAATCTGATTTTTATTTATGGCTCAACATATGTTATATGAGGTTAAAAACGGCTTTTAGGAGCAGTGTGTGTGCTGGGAGCCCTGCCCCCGCGAGGCTTCGCCTGGCAGCGGATCAGRGCAMAGCTTCCCCCACTGGTCTGCAAACACCCTCGCTGGCGAGGCAGATATCCGGATGCCCGGGAAAAACGCGCGGGAAAGACGCGCGGGAAATCATACGATAGGAGGGCGTGGCACATAAAAGCAGCTAACTACAACACACCCGTTTCCTTTCGGTTATCTTGGAAGTAGCAGGGCTTGCCTGGAGGGTCAGCTTGGCCCTCCTTCCCGCCTCGCTTTTCTTATTTTTTTCCCTGCCCGTGGTCCTGCTTCTTCCCTGGCTGCCCTCCCTGTCTGCCTTCCCTGGCTGCACCTGCCGTTTCGCCGCTTCAGCGAGGCAGCTCATCGCATCGTGTTCGTTGTCTCCCCGACGGAGCCGCCGCCGCCGTGTGTCCGGCATTGCCCGCAGCCGCAGCCGTGTGTCCGGCATTGCCCGCAGCCGCAGCCCGCCCGCAGCCGGTGTTCGCCACCGTATGTCCGGGAGCAGCCCGCAGCCGCCAGCCCGTACGCAGCCAGCATTTGCCAGGCTGCTCACCGCAGCCGCCCGCAGCCGCCTGATGCCCGAAAAAGGCCTCGAAATAAAACTCCACAGACCGGTGTCCATAGAAGAGGTATTTGTTTATTGCAGCGCTGGAGGTGAGGGGGATTTCTCCTCCTAACCCACCTGCTTTTGCTTCAAATTAGCACATACTTATACAGTAAGCATGGTGTAACATGAACATTGTGATGCCTGAAAAAGGCTTAGAAATAAAACCCCATAGACTGGTGTCTGTCGAGCTATAGGTATTTGTTTATTACAGCACTGGTGTAGCACTGGAGGTGAGGGGGATTTCTCTTCTTAACTTACCTGCCTTTGCTTCAAATKAGCACATATTTATACAGTGAGCATGGTGTAACAGGAACATTGTCACTGCCCCCCATATGCCCACCATACACCCACCACTATACATGGGCATGGAAATACACGATATCACAGTTTTACAAGTGTGCATGTGTTATCCTCAATTCGGCGGTCGCGGGGGTCTCCCCCTAATGAGATACCATCCTCTTCATCATGGTGGACTTTTCACCTTTGTCTTCAGGGCATGCGCAGTTGTGGTGTTCATGTTCTTTTTCTAGTCCTTCAAGTCATAATTTTCAATTATTTTGCTGACTGTCCCGTACTTCTGCCAAGTTCTCATTAGTGCTCTCTATTGTTCCTTGTTTATAGCATCTACCTATCTACTTTCTTCAGAACTTTTTCTGATTTATGCCTCTTGGTGATTTCACATATCTATGTACTAATCCAGCTGGTTAGATTACGTGCAGCTGGTACACTATATGTTGCTAATACACTATTAAAAAATTTATAGCAATATATAAAAAGGCTATCATTGATAAWATATTGAAAGTGATTACATTGTATTTTAATAATATGTTAATAGTTATTACAGTATATTGATAATGTATAAAAAAGGCTATAGAAAGTTTTGAATTAATAGGCCTCATAAGCACCTTGTCACTTCTGATTTAAACCACATGTTTATATCGAAAGTGTGATACAGCCCCAYGAGTGTGCCCGTAGCCACGGCAGCCYGTTCTTCACCCACAGGAGGGACAYGCAGCCGCTGCTGTTTGGAAATCACGCCCAACCCGCCCGGGAGCCGTGCAGACTCGACGCAGAGGACACGTTTCATCTGCCAAGTTGACGCCAATGGGGTGCCCGGGTAAGGATCTCTCTGGTATTCTGTCTGTCTCTTTGTCTCTCTTTTTCCTTCTTTATTCCTTTTTTTTTTGTCCCCCTTTATTAGGAACACTTAGCTTTCTTTATCAATAAACAGTTCTCAGATATAGTATTGCTGCGTTTGCACTTGATYTTTTTGTCGGAGAAATCTATTAGAAGAATCCTTTCCACAGCGGGATGGGACAACTGGCTTGGGAGCAGGATATACAGACAATATAAAAGTGGTCTGATAGCAGAGTCCCTCAGTATAACACAATCAGTTTGGTGCCCCAAATCAGAAACAGGACAAACTCAAGTTCAAATTTCAGAGTGAAAGTTCTTATGCATTCCTGAAAATATGTGGGTTTACACTATGGTTTGTTAACATTACCCTGGCAGAAGAAAAAGACTTTAGGATGACAGAGGCCCCGATTAAGGAACATGGTGCTCAGCSCCTCTGTCCAGCAAGGAACAACATCCCTGCAAAAATATCCTATTGCCAAAACATTTCTTTGGCACGTACACCACARACTTGCAGGCATCTGGAATTGTGCAATCTTTGCAGGGAATTTCAGATTTTGTTTTTATTATTCCTTTGGATCATTAAGGCTTACAGAACGGAACACGCAACATGATGCCAGGCTCCTTGTTTTCAAATATTTTACTTTGTGTGAATTACTGCTCCCGTCTGCGTCCCTTCCAATGACAAGACCTGCTGGATCAGCTCCTTCCAGATGCCCTTTGGTCGGTAAGTACTCGTTTTTACCCGAAGTTAGTGCTCTTGCATTCATTAACGCTAACCTCTGCCCAGAAGACGGCTAACAACCTCGGTTGACGCTGTTTGGAGAAACCACATTCCAGGAGAGTCTGAGATCCTTCTTGAAAGCTCTTATTGACTGATTTTAGTATTCATGCTGCTGTAATAAAAATAGCAGGTAAGGCAAGGCTAAATGGAGAGTGAGAGAGCGCGTAACTTACCCGCCCGGGTGAAACAGATTTGTTTGTTTAGAGCAGCAGCCTGAGGGTCGCTGTTCTATCACTGCAGCCTTTCTGCTAAAGGAAGCAAGCACTGCCCTCTGCTAAGTGCTAACTTCTCATTTTAACACCTTCCTCTTCTCTCCCATCTCCCCTGTGCTTTGCTTTGGTGTGGGAATGGAGTGCTGAGGGCGGGACAAGTCCTTCCTGTGGGATAGCCAGTGTATGACCACAGTAATACATCTGGAGCATGTGAAGCAATGATTCATTAAATATTTTTATAAACATAGAATTTGAAAAACAAAAGGAGATATGCTTTTTTCCTATTGAGTGAGATRTGTTTGCTTCAGATTATATCAAAGTGGATTTTTGTTTCTGTTGAGTCTTTAGAATTATCATTTCTAAGAGCATTTTATTTTATGCTGTTTCCTCATACTGCATAATCTTGTTTTGTTTGCTTTCCTCACTGGGACATGTTCAACAGTACAATTTGCCATAAATAGTCCCTTTGAGACCTGTTGATGCTCGTACTCAGTATTAGTGTTTTGAAGTTTCAGTTACATATTTTTGGTCATGTTGAAAACTGCTTGCTCATCTGATTTCATGTTCCAATAGCTATTAATATAAATGCACATGCCTGTTTTTTTTTTTTTTTTAACTTTTGGTCAATCTTCTGAGACCTGCTGATTATTTCTGGAATTAAAAGATGAAAATGTCAAAATGCACTAATGAATAGAGGCACCTCAGTTCCTCTGGAACACTGTGGAGCAGTTTGTAAGACTTCAAAAGTCTGTAACTTCATATGGAAGCACATAAGCTCTGATGGTTGTCCCCAGYAAGTTCTCCTAGAGAGAAGGCTCTCACTTGGATTATTTGCACCCTCAAAATGTGACCTAAATGTCCAAATGATAGAGAAGAGCTGTTAAAGAATTTTTTAACATCTAAGCTTCTCAGCTTAAGCTTCCTGGCACACCAGCTTGAGACAGAAGCAGCAGTGATGGTCCCASAAAGGGAAGATGGTGGCATGTGGATAAAGTGACAGTGACGACAGTAGGACAGAACTAGAAAGAAACAAAATAGTTCAGTAGAAACAAAGTAGCAGAAGCTATAAAAGAGATAAAGAGTTAACAGACACTGGGCATATTCTCAAATTATTTTCATCACTGCCTRGAATGTAACAGGCAGTGATGAAAACAGAAGAAAGTTATTTATACACTTGACAAATTACTATTTTGCTATTATATGGGGAAATCTGTATAGGAGACTATTTCCTATATTCCACTAATTTTCTTAATAGCATAACTTTGCTGAGAACTTGTATGAGTTGTATTTTGGTGAGGGGAGAGTGACTTTTTTCTCCTTTCTGTCATACAGAATGAAACTGGTAAGACTTATCAGGAATTTTAAGGAAGATATATGAATGTTGTATTGGATGCATGAAATTTCTCCCTTCAAACCAGGATGATGTTTTTTATTCATAGAGGGATAGTGTGGGAAGTAAGAGGAGTCACCTGTGTGTGACGAGGAGGTCAGCAAAAAAAATGGGAGTCTGCAGTCATGCTTGGAGAGTTATGGCAAGAGCTAATATTTAACTTTATTTTGATGTTCCCACAGTGTTGTTGCTGTTAGAGAAAGTGCCACTGGGATGAGAAAAGCATTTAATCTTTAGAGAGAGTTCGCATCTTTTAATTTTTAGTACTCATCCGGCCTCGTTTGCTGTTTGGTCAATTAGGAAAGTGAGTTTCATCAAAAAGCTGGGAAKGAATGCATAGAATTATAATATATTCAGGGCTGCTGAAATAGTCATACTTTACAAAGTAAARCAAACTTTTCAGAAGTTTGGGGAGRGCAGATTGTTTTAAACTGGCCATTGACCCACATTTTAACAACATAAATTTGTGAATCATATGTAATGTGTAAATGTAAAAACATTTGTAATCAAAAGGGTTTTGCCAGTGTTGCATGGATRAGCTTTGTTCTGCTTGGGGAACTTGGATCTAGGTCATAGGATTTTGGGGAAGCTATCTTTGGGAGTGCTTTTGAATGTGTGTGGAGGGGGGAAGGGAAGGAGAAACAAATGGTTTTTGAGACAGCCACCAAAAATTCGCCATTGGTCTAAGCACCTTTATACACCTCAGGACCCAAGGACTGGGATTGCAGCCCTGGGTTCCTCATCCCCGGGGAGCTCAGCCCCAGAGCTGTGCACGTGCGCCTGMGGCCGATGGATCCATGCAGTTAATTTGTTTTTCCCAGCTCCCAGCAACCTTGGATCTTGTCCTGCGAGCACCAGAGGGAGATGCTTTTACAGGCATGTTTTGTTGGACTCTTTTACATACAAGCGTTCCAGGGACAGAGTGTTCCAGCTCAATCCCTGTGAATGTTAGTGGCTTCTTCTGAGAAGTCACATGAGGTTAATAGCTAACAAAACTACTGCAGCAGCAATCTCATCCCTAAGAGCAGCTAAAATTCTTTTTCWATCCTCATACTAACAATTCCTTTGTCAAGTGAGAGGTTTTGAGGATCTCTTTCTCTCTTTTCTCTTTTGTTGCCCAGCAGAACAGTTTTCAAATTAATGTCTTTTTATGAAACAAATAATAATGAAATAAAATTGTTTCCAGGATAAGAGCAAAATTCAGGAAGAGATATTCTTGTAGAGGACACTCCAGCTGTATTAGAACATGTTTCCAGGGGTACAGTGTCTCCCTTTTCCCTGAAGTATTTTCAATAATGTAACATAGAATTACAATTCAAGACAAATCATAATAGTGAACAGAGAGTTAACAAAGCTTCAGAATCTATAACCAAGGACAATGACCTCCTATTTATCCATTGAAAAGCTATGGAATTATGAAAGTTAATAAAATTCAGTAGTGAGCAGTTCCTGGACTGCAAGACAAAAGCAGGCAAAATAGTTGTTTTTTGTATCATTTATGCCCTGTATTGATTATTTTATCCATGTCTCCGATGCCATATGCATTACAAAATATGTTTTCTTATTTTCAGGTAATGTAATTTGAAGATGCCGACCCCTTGGCAAACGTGCTGCAATAAAAAATCCAGMTCTAAGAATGCAAAAGCTGGAACAGACAACATGGCAGAGACAAGTGAAAAAATGCAGATGAAAAAAGAGATCACATTGCTAAATGGAGTTACTTTAATTGTAGGGAACATGATTGGCTCTGGGATATTTGTATCTCCCAGGGGTGTTYTAATGTACAGCGCTTCCTATGGACTCTCACTTGTCATCTGGGCACTTGGTGGGATTTTTTCTCTGTTTGGAGCTTTGTGTTACGCTGAACTGGGAACATCCATCGTGAAATCTGGAGGCAGTTATGCCTAYATCCTGGAGGCATTTGGGCCCTTTGTGGCCTTCATCAGACTCTGGTGTTCCTTGCTAATTATTGAACCAACAACTCAGGCAGTKATAGCCATCACTTTTGCTAACTATATTGTTCAGCCAATTTTTCCCCATTGTGAACCACCATATGATGCAGTCAGGTTGATTGCAGCTGCATGTATATGTAAGTATGGCTAGAAGTTAAGAACTGTAATTGTACATGGCCAGAGGAGGTTTTTCTAAACTTCTKTTTCTTTGCATTCTATGAAAATGATCTATATAGAATGATTTCTAAATTATTTTCATTTTGAGCATTACAAAACCCTTTTTCTTCCTTTCAAAACTGAAATGTAGATTGTAGGCAGGTCAAGGAAACAGAAGCAAAGACCAACAAGACTTCTAGATAAGAAATAACCCACTTTGATCTATGCTTGAGAGTACTCTAGGTCACCATGCCACTTTGTCCTGCTCTCAACTCCAGSAGCTGGGCTTCATACTTGGCACCAATGCATATCCTTGCCCTTCCTCATTTATCTCTGTTTTGAATCACAGCATTGCAAGAGGGAGAAGTTGCCTGTGATGCCATTTGTGGGTGCTGCAGTGAGAGCAGATGGGCACATGGGCTCAGTCTCTGGCTGGACCTGCTGCCAGGTCCAAAAGGAGGAAAGGAAAACAAGTTGATCCCACCTGCTCTCTGCAACCAGCTAATTTGTTATTTTTGTTAGATTSTTTCAAAACTGGGACTCAGAGGACTCTCTAAGTATGTGCTATGCAATCTTCAGKCTCAGAGCCAAAGTGTGAATAACACAGCTTTCAAGCCATGGGTGCAGAGAAACTGCATGCTGCTGGCCTGGCTCARTTCCGTGTCTTATCCACAGCACCCAAATTACTTTTGTGTAGAAGTTGTCCTTATTCTGAACCTAGTCTAGAGTTTAACTCATCATAAAGGAATCTGTGATATACAGGATATAAAGAAATATTGTCACTTGCATATAAGCAAACTCTGTTGAGTTTAATACAACTTAAATGTTATTTAAATGGAGTAGGAGTTAGTCCTAAAATTCAAAAACTGACATGGTTTGTCTTACCTTCTGTCATGAAAACAGTATCCTTAATAAAACCATTGTGTAATTTTTAAACCAGATATTTCATCTTAATAAATCTGGGTGGTCCTGAAGTGGTGAAATTTGATTCAGTTTTACTCCTTGAAAGATGGCTGCTATCCGGAAAAATAGATTTAAAATGTGGCTTAAGTGATATTAAACATCTAGTGCTACTTTCATGCATATTCTTTTTCTCTGCAGGTTCCTTAACATTTATTAATTGTGTTAATGTGAAGTGGGGTACCCGTGTACAAGATGCTTTCACATATGCAAAAATTATGGCTCTTATCTTGGTGATATCTGTCGGTCTTTACAAAATTGGTAAAGGTAAGAATAATTTTCATTTACCTAAATTCTAGAATTGAACCATACGTGAGTTTCAAAATCCATACAGGGAGATCCTCTAGACTTACACGTGAAGTGTTGTTTATTCTGGAAAAAAAAGATCTGCCACAGGAAGGTCAGATGAATTTTATGTCTTGTTAACAAATGTGGGGTTAATTATTGAAGCCAAGCCCTGTGTTTCTGAATAGCAAATAGCAGTTGAATTAACATTACTTTACTGCTGACTAGTTTAAAGTCAGCCTTAGTGTCTGATTCATGCATTACTACCTGTCCTAAAACAGGACAGTGAAACAGAAATTGCACTGCTCCTTGCAGTTTCCCCACCTCACCCACAGCACCCTGTCCAGGGAGGGGATCAGAGAGGGTAAATCATAGGGGCGATTTGAGGGAGGGCAAGTTTGTTCCTAGAAACAAAGGAGATGGTAACAGTGAAGTTCTGTGAATCACTGAGCTATGGTGTTATTGKAAAGCATCACAGCACAGATGAGCCACCTCCTCTCAGCAATAACTGGACTGAATTGAACACAATGAAAAGCTGGAGAGTAATTCCGGTGTAAACTTTGCACATGGCAATAGATTTCATTTCATTAATTTGGGCCTCTGGCACAATTAAGTCTCTTCCAGTTCCAGCTCTGCTGTTTAGATTACTAAGTTTTTACATTTTCATTTCCTTTGAAATTCTTAAATTGTATAGCYATTTTATCTTTATTCAGTTGAAATAAAGATGTTTTCCCCTCTTCTGATTAGGAGGTACCTTTTTCTCTTGCTAAATTAGCTTATAAAGCATAATGAGCATGCTTGCTTTTCCATGTTTGCTGGCCTCCTCCTTTCCTTGGCTGCAGTTGTGTCAGCTGTTACACTGTAAAGCTACACCAGACTTTAGGAAAGCTCTTTTGTTTAGCCACTGTCTGTGGATGTCACCAAATGGTTAACGTCTAAAGAAACCTGGACAACCAAAGCCAATCCTAAGAGCAGGAACATGGGGATTCAGAGGTGCATTGCTGAAGGGTCACAGTTGCACGAACGAATAGTTCCCCTCAAAAAAACACTGCAGTTTTGCAAAGGTGTGATTCTGTGATGTCACCTCTTTAGCAGTGTTCCGCCTGCTTTCAAAATTTCTCCTTCTCGTTCAAAACTTCATCCTGTTCCATCCTGGTGTGCTGTTGGACCMAGGGGCTGCTCCCTCTTGTTCCACATTGTTTCCTCTGCATTGCTCTGTGGGRTCAGGCAGGGTTAAAGCACCGAGGAAACATGGTGAGGAGCTTTTTCTGGTAGTAAGGGTCTCATCTCTTCTTTGTTTAAGCAGAACTGAGCACTGGAATACAGGAAGGACTGGAAGGAGAAATGATGGAGACTTGTGGAGGAAGCTGTGATCAGGTCAATGACTTTTAAACTCAGCATCTGTTTTTAATGAAAAGAACAGTTATGTAGGTTTTTTCTGCCATTTTTCTTCTGATGTGCTTGGATATACCTCTGATTTTGAATATGAGCTGTCTTTAGCAAAAAAAAACAAAAAAAACCAAAAAAAAAAAAAAAACCACAAAAAAACCCCAGAAACCTTTTCTTGATCATTTTGGATTTTTCCTTCTTTTTTCTTCAAACCATTTTCTTCTCCAAAGCATTTGTACATCTCATTGCTTCCCTTCTTTGGTTCAGTCTACTGCTCTTCAATAACTGAATTGCTGTTGCAATATCTATAAACTTCTTGGTTGAATCAGTGCTTTCATTTTACAATGAAGACATTTCTTTCCTGATTGAGGTTTCATCATATTTCTGTCTTCCTTTAATACTTAACTCACTTCCATTTTCATTCGTGGTAGACTTCCTGCCGCAAACTCAGTCAGGCCTTTCTTCCCCTTTCCAGGATGGCAGTGAAGGCTTTCACAGTTTCATTAACATTTCACCTATTTTGCAGCATTCTGCAGGTTTTCATCTCAACCCCTGATGGWGCTAAACTAGAGCAGAGTTTTAAAAGGGAAAATTTTTTAAATCTCGTCCCAGTTTTGGGGAACACCCTTGTGGRTTAAAGCATCCCACTGAAAATCATTCCTACAGGAGGTCCCCCTCTAGTGGCCACTGATTTACCTGATTATAAAATCTGTAAATAAAAGGTATTTAGGAAGAAAAGTGAAACAGATTCAGGAGCTAAAATTTGGTTTCCCAAGTACCTCAGCCTGGCTGACAAGGTACTGCATTCCCTTGGTAYGGTTCCCTTCTTTGGTAGGCTTGGCAGTAATGCCAGAAGAGGACTCAGTGAATTCTGGTAGCATTCAAAAGTCACATCCAAATAATAGACGGGAAAATGTGTTCTGTTTTCTCCCTGTGCAAGTGTAGCTGCCTGAGCAACTGACTGAAACTTTGCCGTTTGTTCAGCAAAAATGTAAGCTGTGCACTTTTAGATACAGTAATGGAACCTGGGTGCAGTGGGGGGTTATTTCCTTCCAGTCAGCTGGCACTTTGGGTGTAGTGTCCTTCTAAGTTGTAATCCTTGAAATGTAACATGCAGTTGGTACCTGCCGTTTGTACAGGGGAGACGGAAAACCTGAGAGCTCCGTTCCAGGGCTCAGCAACAGACCCGGGGATGATTGCCCTGGCTCTCTACTCTGCCCTCTTCTCCTACTCAGGATGGGACACGCTCAACTATGTCACCGAGGAAATGCAGAATCCAAAGAGGTACACATATGCTTTTCCTTTGAATCACTGCCAGGTGATGGCAGGACAAACTACTCTGTTTTTGTTTCTGATTGGAAATTAGTCAAATTATTTTCTCTGCAAAAAACTTACTCTTTTCAAATGAGGGAGTAAGCAGCAGAACTCTTTCTGATTATTGTGCTCATTCATCAATTTTATCACACTAACTAGTCATTTGCCTATATATGTGTATTTTACATCTTTACTTTAGACTGTAGTATTTCAAGAAGGAAAACAAATCCCTGCTGAAAGCAAGGAAAAGCAAAGGTCCATCGAGTCCTCTAAAATTCCCTACTTCTTCTCCATTAGAAATATTTTTCCAGGGCTTTTTTTTGTCATCAGCAGAGTAAGACTGTTTCAGATTTATGGCTTTTATGTTGTGATTTTCAGCATTACTGTTTATGGGCAAATATAATCTCCTCCCTTCTGTAGGGATGTCAGCCCTGTGGGAATTGTTTGCATCAGCTGTTCAAGATGACATAGTCYGCCTTGTCTTGGGATATAGGTTATGAGTCAGGAAAAAAATGCCACAATCAAGAAAATACCTAAGGGTGCACTTAGATCTTGTTGTTTGAGTGCTCTCTTAAATTGCTTCATATAAAAGTATATTAAATGTACATGTATAAACTTTAAGGGTTTTTTAAAAAACTTGTGACAGACGCACAAGCAACAAATTAAGCTTTTTATGGCATTGTTCCACACGTGGCTGCATGTTATTTTGTTACCTTGTGATTCAAGGGATGGATTACAGGAAATGATGGAAGTATCCGTTCACAAATGTTTGAATCTGGRAACAATCTTCTATTTAAGTATTTCTCATTTAAAGAACAGGAAATAATTTTTCCATTTTCCTTTTGCAGGAATCTGCCTCTTTCCATTGCCATTTCAATGCCTATTGTAGCTATTATTTACCTGTTGACTAATATAGCATACTATGTAGTGTTGGACATGCCAGCTCTCCTCACAAGTGACGCAGTGGCTGTGGTAAGTTGTGGAACACAACCCAAACAAAAGACACTACAGTAAAATTTCAGGTAGCACACTTGGCAAACAGCTGAAATACTGTCATGCTGAAGGCTGCTTAAAACACCTTTTTTCATGTAAGAGTACCAGTATMTTAGAAGGTGCATGTCAAGAATGTATGAGATAAATCTGCTCTTGAAAAATCCTCTTCTATACTGTGTAAATCCTGCTCTTTACAGTAAATCATTGRAAAGATGCTTTTAGGATCAAAGAGCTGTAGAAAGTCTGGGTGGTTGGAGAAACAGGATTTTTTATTTTCATTCTAATGTACAGTGTGTAATGTTTAATGCTGCAGGACCACAGCAATATTTTCAATGTAGAAGTATGCACTCAAAAGTTTTTTTAAAACCTTGTCAGTGTTTTATAAGAAGTAAAATTATAATTCATGGATTACTACAGTTGGGATTTGTCAGAATACTTMAAAGCCAATGCATCATCTTCTTTTGCATCATTGACTTAATTAGGTTTAGAATGTTTTTAAAAAAACCTTTTTTTAATGTATCTGCCATTTATATTTTGATCCTGATCAGCTTTTCTACTTCTAATTTCCCATGTCATTATTGGATGTAATGAGAAAGCATGGGCTATGACACTACATTTGGGATGATGATGATGTTTTCATGAGAGTTGCTCAGGATTACCCATGTGCTTAACATAGTGGGCCTCACCATTACTTTTTTGTTTCCTGTTACAGACGTTTGGAGGTGAAACCCTCAGTCATGCCAAGTGGATAATTCCTATAGCAGTGGCCATGTCTTGCTATAGTGGGTTAAACTCATCAATTATTGCAGCGTCTAGGTATGAAGTATAAGATTTATTTTAAATAACTGAAAAGGAATRATTTATTGCTAATCTGCATTCTTTACTACTGCTTGGTAAAAGTGACACAGGTAATTTTTGCCATGTGAAGTTGTTGATTTATGATGGAGGATTGTTACAATTAGACGTCTCCTTATGATCAGCACCATTTGATAAACTAAAGCCACTYGAGACAAGAGCAGAACTTACAACAYGGTAATTAARGAATTATTTCTTTGCTTTGTTAGGAAGCAACAAGCTATTCCTTGGCTGTCTGGTTGAGTTTCCTTCGTCTTTTTCTAGACTTTTCTATGTTGGAGCTAGGGAAGGACACCTCCCTGTCAGTCTGAGCTTGATTCACATAAAGTGCTTSACACCAGTCCCTGCTCTCCTGTTCAATGTAAGTGACACCCCAGCCTTGTGCCTGCCTGGGGCAGTTGGGGTTTGGACCTCAGGTAAAACACCTCTGCTCTGCCCTGGGCTTCTCATGGGCTTCTCCTGCCCTGAGACATCTTCTGCAAATATCCACAACTTATAAAATTCATTGAGGGGGTGGAAATGGGTGTTATTTTGTCTGATAGGGGTTTTTTTTTCAATACAAAGAGAATGGCTTGGTTGACGTTCATATGCTCTCCAAACAATATTAGTGAGAAATACAATAGCATTGCTGAGGAACAGAGAATGGCTAAATATGTCATGGTATAGACAGAAGCTGTTTAAGTCTTTAATGTGAGTTTTCAGAGTGTCACTGGAGGAGAATATGTCAAGGAACATCTCTTAGACTGCCGTAGGCAGATGTCCTGCAACTTTAGTTATAACAGGAGTGACAAAGYCCTTAAAATTAAATTTTCTAGCATTGGATGTGTATAGCTACATTGACTTTTTTCTGCTGTCACTATACAAATGAGATCTTGTGACACAAAATTGTGGAACCAAAAGTTATAGAATTAGTGGAAATTATTTTCATAAATAACCCACATAYTGGAGAACACATTTTATTTGGTATTTGCCATTGCCTTGTGTTACACATTGTTTATGAACAGATTATCATACTGGTTCTGTTTGACAACAAATAATTTGCTACAAGTTATAATCTCRTTATGAACACTCTTCTCACAGGGATTCTGTTTGCCAAGAGTAGTAGTAATAGTAATTGTAACTAGTAATATGACCTGTACTCTCTTAATACACCACCAATCATATTTTTCATGTGGAAAGTAGAAATTTTTTCTGCTCTCTTAAAATAGACATTGAAATGGTTTAAGTCTTTCTGTGCAGGCAGTATAGCACACCTACAGGCCATAAAATTAATTATCTCAATTTATGAGTGGACTGAGTCCTTCTTGCAAGGACCTGATCTCCTAAGTCTACACAAATATGTTRGAAACGGGCCAGTTTATAATTTTACTCTGTCTTTATTTTCACATTAAAAAGGTCTTTGTTTTTATTATCTCCAGGGCTTAATGACTTTGCTTTATCTCCTTGTGGAAGATGTTTTCCTCCTTATCAATTACTACTGCTTCAACTACTGGTTCTTTGTGGGTCTGTCTATTGCAGGACTAATAACTTTAAGATATACTCAGCCTGATAGACCACGGCCTGTTAAAGTAAGTAAACAAGAGAGGAAGAAAGCTCTAAAAGCCAGCTAATGCATGTGTTTATGTGATCTTTGATACCACAACCATAACAGTACCAGTTATTTTATTGACTATTTATTAGCCATAGAAAGTCTTTCAAAATACAAGACAAAGGAGAAAAACCCATTAGAGTCCATGAGAATAATTCTTCTGGTAGTTTTGCTGTGAGGTTGAAATGATATATCCCACTTATTCTTCTTACATTCGGACTTACAGTAATTTTTGTTTCAAATAAATAAGGAATACATAAATTTCTGGAGTTCCTAGCCCATCCTGGAAGAATAGCAGACCTCAGGAGAGCTGGTGATGGAGGCTCCTGAGAGGTTAACACTCTGATCAAACCTACATGATTTAACAAACACACCAAAATCCCTCCGAAGCCCATAAATATCCACAATTCTGATCATGCAGGACTTCAATAGCTTAAATAATAAAATATATTTTGAATGTTTCCTTCCACTGGGTAGTGGTCATAGACAGTAAAATGCAAGTTTAGTGATTAACTTAGAAGAGCATTTGACTACCAGTTAGGCAAGGGAGACTGCACAGGAACAAAGTATGCCTAAAACCTTTTTCTAGTTTTAATCCAATGATTGTTCGAGGAAGGAAGGATGGAAACACACAGCAGACACACAAAACCATGCACTGGCTCCTATTTGTTGGCTCCATGACCTGCATTTTGGCTCTGCAGTGATGCAGTAAGAATTAAGAGAATTACAAATAAACATCCAACCAAATATTTCTTCTTTGTCAGTCTCTCTTCCTAAACTCCTGCATCATTTTTACAAACACATTTTTTTTCCATTTAAGTGTAATATTCTGATTAAGTAAAAAAAGGTTCAAACAAAGGTACAAAATATCTCTTGCTAGAGAACTTCCCAATTTCCCATAGCAAACCAAATTTTCCTGAAGCATGTTCACACTTCATTTCCAAACTCTCCCACAAAATATGTGGAAGATAAAGATTAAATCTTCCCTTATTGGCAGTTTTGCCTCTGACTGTACTAAAACAAGGATTACAGTCAGATTATAGATAATAACAGTTTAATTCCTGTCAGCATTTGACAGCTTAGTCGACACCACAACTCCACATAGACCATTYCCTTTTTGAAATGTAGCAGGTTTTATTCATCAACTTACATTTTTAACCTTTATAAGGAAAAAAAGTATTTATACCAGTAAACTCTTGGGAGTTTCAGCTGGTATTCAAATGTCAACTCCTGGACCCTTGAGAAGGCTCACTATTACAGACAGTAAAAAAAAAAAAATTAGTGAAAAATAAATTCGTAAAGAGGTTATTGAAACTTTCATAGAATCATAGTACCAGAAGTTGTTAAGGGTTAGAAGGGCCCTTATGATCATCTAGTCCCAGCCTAGACCAGGTTGCTCAAGGATTTATCCARCCTTGCCTTGAACCACTGCCAGGGYTGGASTGTCCAYRACCTCCCTGGGCAACCTGTTCCAGTGTCTCACCACTTTCCATGTGGAGAATTTCTTCCTAGTACCTAACCTAAATTTCCCCTCTTTCAATTTGTYCCCATTACTCYTTGTCCTATCACTTCAGTTCCTGCTGAAGAATCTCTCTCCAGCTTCCCTGTAGGCTCCCTTAAGATTGCTATGGAATATTGCTGTGAGCTCTCCATGCAGCCTTTTCTGCTCTTGGCTGAACATYCCCAACTTTCCCAGCCTGTTGTCACAGGAAAGGTGCTCCAGTCTTCTTATCAGCTTCATGGYCCAACTTTCCTTATTTGTGGGATGATATTTGTTAAGTGCCCACACAAAATGGTTGTAAATCAGTCCATTAGTTCTACAGCATCAAGCTGGTTCTTGAAGGTCAGTGAGTTAGTTACCAACCAAAACTACACTTAAAAATTCAGAGTTGAAGTTGGAGAGAAAGCTATCCATTACTGCTTAGTTTTACAGCACTTGTTTCAAAGACTGATCTTTTACTAATTGTAAAGAAACTGCGTTTATGCAGTCCTGAAAAAAATAAAATAGTCAGATGGTAAGATGTGTACCAAATAGGAATCTCTCAGCAGCGTACACAGAAGCTAACAAATTACRTTGAATGTAGGCAGTCAAAAGACTCAGTATATGCTTTTATTATTGACATGTCTAACTTTAATCTGCAAAGCTTGGATTTTTACAATAGACTATTTGTTGCATCTTTTAACACATTTTTCAATTTGTTTTTGTCTCCACAGCTTAGCCTTTTCTTCCCGATAGTATATTGTTTGTGCTCCCTTTTCCTGGTCATAGTGCCTCTCTACAGTGACACARTCAATTCCCTTATTGGTGTTGGTATTGCCTTCTCAGGCATTCCTGCATATTATTTAGGAGTCTATCTACCAGTTGAAAAACGACCTAAATACCTACATTGGCTCTCTGGTAAGCAACGTCATGTCCTAATTATTATGCCAAAATCTTGGTCAGAAGAAATACAGAATAATTTTTAACACCCTGGAAGGCAGAGATACTAGAAAACCTTTGCTTCACTTTCCATCTAAGAAATGGAACATCCAAATCAGAGAAGTCCACATACTTTCAGAAACAATGAAATAATTAATTACTGGCATGAAGGGTAGTTGCTAGTCCTCAAATTCAAGCAGYCTTGAAAAGCAAAACTTTAATATTTTTATTCACTTTGAACTCAGCTGTCAATTGGACAATTCAATGAAAATSTTGATGAAAATCTGATTAAAGAAGAATTCCAGTTTATTTATTGATTACTTTTGCCTTTAGATATTTATAAAATACAACTAATTGATTTGATCAAAGGGTAGTTTTAAGTATCTGTGTAATGCTTTCAAATCCTCACAATCCAGATGTATGTCTAAGATATAACTGCTTCACACTTTTTTGCCAATACAGCCACAACAACAAAATATGTTCAGATGCTCTTCTACTGTGCTCTGTCGGACCTGGACATAGACATGGAACCTACAGCAGCTAAGAATAAATAGAGTTGCCTCAACATTGAGAATTGTGCCTTGACATCGCCTATCTGGAACAATTTTTAT